GGGAAGTGCAGGAGTGCCGCGGTCAGCGGCTCCTGGGGGTCCACCACACCACACCCCCCCATGGATGCGTCGGGCTTCGGGGTGATAGCACCGCCCCCTGCGTGCATGGGTGCCCCGTTCTTGCCCAACCCAGAGCGGCGGTATGCCGCGACTCTGGGTCCACGCGGGGAACAGCTGACACTACGGGCACGACCCCCCTCTGTACACTTCAGCTGCGGTTTGTCCCTCTACAGGCTCACAAACAACAGCGGCGGTTAGCGGCGATTCTGGTGGACCACACGATCCGGGATGCACGCGGGGGGCTGCCGAGGCTACGGGCCCGGGCCTTCCACGGGGGCTCGAGGCACTCTTGCAGCATCCTGGTGCCGGCTGCCAAGGGCAGTCACTCGCCTCCCCTCCGTGCTCGCTCCGATTTCTCTCCACCCAGGGCACGCCACCCCCCGTCCACCCCCCCGTCCACGCTCGGCGGTTGCCACGTCCCCGGGTCCATGCGGGGAGCTGCAGAAGCGTCGCGCACGAGGTGCGAGGTGCGAGCTGGACGCTGTGAGCTACAGCGCTGGGAGCAGCGCGTGCGCCAGGGGTGAGCAATGGCAACTCGCACTGTCGCTGCTCAGTGGGTGTCAGAGGTTGAGCTGGTGCGCAACGTTGTCCGCTTCGACGCTGGAATCAGTGTGTCAGGAAAACGGGGATGGCAACATGCTCCTGCGCTATTGCCGGAGCGTGGGAAGCTAAGTTGGAGCCCATTGTCATCAGTTGCAGCGCTGGGATCAGGTGAGAGAAGGGTGGACACTGGCAGCAGGCCCTGTCGCTGCCCAGCAAAATGCGGCAGGCGGCATTGGAGCCCACCGTGATCGGTTACAGCAGTGGGATCAGAGTGTGCGTGAAGGGCGGACAATGGCAGCAAGCCCTGTGCCGCCAGGCAGGCGGGGGGGATGCTGTGGCCCACTTCCTGCCCTGTGGCAGGAAGTGGGCCGCAACCTCCCCCCCGTCTGCCTGGCGGTGAGCGCGACCCTGCCTGGCCACCTGTCTGTTAAATACAGACTCGTGCGGCGATCAGCTGCGACCCCCGAGGACCTACCACCCCCACTGTCCTGTCACCCTGCAGGTTCACATCTGCGACGGATTGATGCGACCCTGGAGGACCAACAATCGGAGACACCCACCATCAAATAGAGATCATAGCGGCGATCAGCTGCGACCCCCGAGGAAATGAAAGAGAAATGGCGGACCAACAAACGGAGACACCAACCTTCAAATAGAGATCATAGCGGCGATCAGCTGCGACCCCCGATGAGATGAAAGAGAGATCAGAGCGGCGATCAGCTGCGACCCCCGATGAGATGAAAGAGAGATCGCAGCGGCGATCAGCTGCGACCCCCGGGAATGCCCATGGCCCCTGACCCACGGATTCGGGGCCAGGCTGGAGGGAGAGGCGTTGCTTCCCCTCGCCCCTCCCCTCTCGGGCCAGGCGGGTGTCCCCCCGCCCTTGGCCCCGGGGCCCGCCTGACGTACGGCAGACGTCGGCGTGGGTGCCCCCCCCATCCCAGGGCCGCCCGTGCTCCCCGCTGCCCGTGGCCTGGCTCATCACTCTCAGCGGGGCTAGCTGCGGACCTGGAGGACCACGTGTTGGGCGTGGCTTAATGGGGGGGTCACAAATGGGGGGGTCAGAAACGGTCCCCTTTCGTGCCCCTTTCGGGCCCCTCTGGACCCCCAGGGGGCTCGTTTAGGTACCGTATGGGTACCTTTTCGGACCACCCTCACCAACCCCCCATTTATGACCCCCCCATTACGCAACGCCCAAACGTGGTGTGTGTTGGCGTTCCCCGGGTCCTGGGCGGAAGTGCCAAGCGGCGGACTGGGCCAGACTTTGCCCCCTGGCCCCCGCGTGTACCACAGTGCAGCTCCCCCAGGGCATCGCCCTATGACATCGGCTCGCCCCCTCGCACAGGCGCCACTCGCCTCAGGGCATCGGTACGCCTGGCTCGCACATGCGCCACGTGCCTCGGGAGGTACGCCCGTCCCCGTTTCAGTTTGGCGTCCTCCCGAGGGCCGCACTATCACCAGTGCCGCCCCCCCCCCCCTTTCTCTTCACGCTGGCGATGCTCACCACGCCAGCTGGTCTCCCCCCCCTCCCTCTGAGGCCTGACGCCGTGCCGGCACGCGCTGCGTGGCCCACAGTTGCTTGGTTCCCCCTTGCACTGTGGGGTGGTCTGGTGGTTGGTGGTATTGCCTCGGAGTGGTTCAGCCTTCCGCGGCAGCTACAGCACCCCAGGCTCACCACCAGCTTCCGGCAGGTTGCGTTGCACCACGTCCCGCGGCAGCTCAGCCCCCCTAGCTAGCACACGTCGCCCAGGGCGTGTGGAGCCTGGCGCCCCACCGGCGACTCTCTCCACCGGCCTCGCACTGGCCCCCACTTAGAATGACCGACTTGGTTGTCCTGGTTCACGTCTCATACTGTGGCAGGCATCGAATGCGTTGGCCCTCGAATTCTGGTCATTTTGTCCAGTGCACGTGCCCGAGTTTGCAGTACGCCAGCCAGTTCAGCGTCACTCAGCCTGCAGCCGCCGTCTGAGTGGGCTTGCCGGCGCTCTGCTTAGCAATTAGCCTCGCCTGTGGCCCGGACGTTGCCTTCGCCACCTGACCGCTGTCTCGTGGCCGCTGACCAAAAAAATATCACCACTGGCGGCTGCTTCTGAGTGCAGGCCCGGCCGCTTCGCTCTAGGCTCGCGCGTAGTTAATTTGGCAGGCCCGTGGCCCGGGCCTTTCCTTCGGCGACAGCGTTTCCGCGTCCGCCCGCGACCAAAAAAAAGTATCCCCACCAGCCCATCCAGAAACGATGTCCAGGCGAGGTGAGGTGATCAGGGAAGTGCGGCAGCAAAGAGGAGGACGGCCGAACCGTGCAAAGGAGTGAGGAGGAGAAGGAGGAGGTAGATGGATGGATGGATGAGGGAGTAGGAGGAAGGAGGATGAATAGGATGAGGAGACGGAGGAGGAGGAGGAGGAGGAGGAGGAGGAGGAGGAGGAGGAGGAGGAGGAGGAGGAGGAGGAAGAGAAGGAGTAGGAGCAGGAAGGAGGGACAGGAGGAGGAGGAGGAGGGCAAGCACAAGGGCCAGAGGTCTCTTGGATGCCTCTCGGAGCCTCTTGGTGTATCTCTTGGGCGATTCTTGGTGGCCTCTTGGGACGTCTTGGGGGTCTCTTGGCGATCCTGGGGGCTCTTCGGGGTCTTGGGTGCCTCGGGGGGGGGGCTCTTGGGGCCGCTTAGGGTCTTCTTGGGGGCCTCCCGGGGGCCTCTTGGGGGCCTCGTGGGGCCATCTTGGGGCCATCTTGGGACATCTTGGGGCCTCCTGGGCGGGGACGTCCTGGGCAGCTGGGACGTGCGGCTCCTCGGCGCAAGCTGAACGGCCGCGGGCAGGCACGCCAGTGCCCCACCCCCCTACGCCCCTCCGGAGGGCCGGGGCCGTGCGTAGCGCGGCGTCTACAGAGCCGCCCAGCGGCATCCGGAGACGGCCCTTGCCTCCACTGAGGGGCAGGGGCGTGCATGGACGGGGGCTTTGCCCTGACGCGGGCGGCCAGAGGAGGGCCTGCCGCTGAGACTCCGGGTTTGGGATCCCGGGCCCGCTGGGGGAGGGGCCGCGCGACGCGCCGGGCTCCTTTGCGCGCGGGGCTCCTTGACGCTTCGTGCCTTCCTCCCTGCGCCCCAATCTACACTGGTTGTGCTGCGATCTGCCGACGCCTGGTTGCTGGCTCCCCTTCCGGGGGGGGAGCCTGGGCATAAGGCGCGCGGATCCCCGCCGGTGTGGTGCGGCTCGCGCAGGGGATGCGGCTGCGGAGGGGGGGGTCCCGTGTTGCGGGGGGTTCGGTTCGTCGTCGTCTTCTTCTTCGGGGGGTTCGCCCATACTCGGCTTGTATAGCCTAATTTCCGCTGGCACCTAAGCGTGCCCCTTACATGACTCATCAGCTTGACAACTGATATCCCTGACTGCGGCTGGCGATTTGGCCACCGCCTTTCACACAGACGGGGGCCAGGACCAGTGCGGTGGCCAGTAGTCTCCTCCTCGGCTGCTGGTTGCCCTGCTTGGCTTTTTCAGTGTTGATTCCACCCCGGGGTGGCCTCGCGGCGGCTCCAGGGTGGTCTCTTCTCAACCCCATTTGACTTTTCTCGGCCTCCGGCCGAGGGCGTCTACGGCATAGGCACCGTGTCGCCATCAACCACAACAAAAGGGCCTCCTGGGCGCTTCTTGGGGCCATCTTGGAGGAGATCGGTCAACGAAGGCAGGTCCCTCAATTAAGGTCCCCCCCCCAGGAGGCCAAAACGGGGCCAAAACCTTAGTACAATGAATGATTTTGGCTTCCTCGCCGACGCCGTTTTGGACGCTCCAACTACCCGCGGCCCCCCCGTCCAGGTCCAGGGGAGACGGGGAAGAGGGAGGGGTGGAAGAGGAAACGCCCTAAACCACCGACGCCCAGAGTGCTGGTGGGATTTGGCCTCTTCGGGGCCTCCTGGGGGAACTCTTTGGCCACTTGGACCCGTCTTTGAGCGGTCTTGGGGCCTCTTGGAGCATCGTGGGAGCCATCTTGCGGCATCTTGGGATATCTTGAGCCATCTTGGAGGTCATCTTGGGCTCTCCCAGGCGCTCTTGGAGTCATCTTAATCAGCGCCCCCCTCCCAGGAGGCCAAACTGTGGCCAAAACCTTGGTAACATCTTGTGGCATTCTCGCCGGGGCCTCTTGGGGCGTCTTGGGTGCCTCTGGGGGGCCTCTGGGGGTCTCTTGGGGGTCTCTTGGGAGCCTCTTGGGGGCATCCTGGGGGCCTCTTGGGGGCCTCTTGGGGCCTCCTGGCCACCTCTTGGGGCACCCTTGGGAGCGCTCTCGGGGCCATCTCGGAGGAGATCGATCACAGAAGGGAGGTTTCTTAATTAGGGTCTCCCCTCCAAGAGGCCCAGCTCGGGCCAAAACCTGCGCAACATCAATGATTTTGGCTTCCTCGCCGAGGCCGTTTTGGATGCTTCAGCTACCCGCTGACCCCCCCGCGACCTTTCTAAGGTCCGCGCAGACCTTCGAACCTTTTTTCTATGCAATGCTTCTTCCTCGGGATCCGTGGATCCGCCCTGCTTGCACGACCAGGAGGGGTCGTGCAGCGCCCCCGGGCCCAGGAAGGACCTGGCCAGAATCGGTGCCAGGGGATGGCTGGCATCCAACGGCATCAGACGTCTTCGGTGTCGTCGCCGTTGTCCTCCCTCCCGCATGCGCTCTGGTCGGTGTCGGGGTGCCCCGCGAGGCAGAGCCACTGGTAGAAGAAGGTCGTCGTGTCCGCGAGCAGCTCCTCCCTGCTCTTGTCGGCGCCCTCGCCAGGCGCCTGCAGAGTGATGAACGGCATGCCTCCTGCCTCGAAGCGCTCCAAGAAGCTGCCGAACTCGGCGGGGCTTCGCTCGGTGGAGAACATCGGCTGCCACCTCTCCTTCCTGGGCCTAACCTCGTCCGGCTGGAGAGGTGACTGCACGCTTTTCCGCGGGTCGGCAAGCTCGTACAATTCGTCGTCGTAATCGGTAACATCATCTTGAAAAGTGGTGAGCTCGCACCTTTCGATTTCGTCGAAATAGCACTTGCAATATTCTGGCAAACGCTTGCACAACGCCCAACTGACCATACCGCTTCCGTAACAAAGCTCGTTTTCCTTCTCCTTGTCCGTGCATCCTGCCGGCTCGTTGCCAGACTTTTTTTTCTGCCGCTCCACGGCCTCCCTCATCATGCGACCGGTCCCGACCATCATAAACCAGGTCGCCGTCTCGGCTCGCGATGTGTAGTAAAAGCCCTTGAACTGCACACCCTTTGGGGAGGGGGGTAGGAGGGTGTGGGGGATGGATAAAAAGGAAAGAGGAGGGGGGGGAGTGGGATGGGGGAGGGGATGTGGACGACGAGCTGGATGTTGATGTTGACGGATGTGAGGACGATGACACCCTTCCGACAGCTCGTGGACACGACCTCTGCTGCCGTGCACGAGGCCACGCGCCACAGTGCCCTCAGGCCCAAGGCAAGATTGGCCATTTGCGCGAGCTTTAAGGCGCTGTGGGGGCACCCTGTTTGCGCGCGCGCAAGCCACTGCTGGCGGGAGCCCCGTGGGCCTGCACCAGAGGTGACTGCTGCCACTGCTGCCTGGGCTGGCCGCTGGATCCAGCCCCGAGGCCAGACATGGGACCATGAAGACAGGAATCGATATGCAATTCCAGTTGCCAGCCTTAAAAGGGCGGGCTTGGGATCGAAATCTTGGTCGTAAGTACGGCTACGGCAGGCTCAAGGTATGATGATATTCGCGTGGCACCCACAAACGCTTCATGTCTACCAGCTCGCGGAGAACACTTATGTTGCCTGGCCGAGAAGCTTGTACCACGTCTGCTGTGGCCGGCCGTTGGAACTCGCCACCGGGCCCAAACGTCTTTCAATGGGATAGCAGATTCGCGCTCTGACTGATTCTTCACAGCGAAGTGGGAATGTGGAGGAAGGCAGGAGGCACCTCATGTGAAGCGGAAGGCTTCTGCCCGAGGTTTGAGTTTAGACGTTCCCTCTCGGCGGCCAGCCCATGGGGGAAGTGACAAGGGGCGGGCCTTCTCAGAAGGCTTGGAAGTCCTCCGCCCCTTCCAGAAGTCCCAGCAGCCCTTTGGGCTGAGTGGTCTAACGAGTTGTTCTCATTTTTTACCATAACCCCTCCTTCCCCTGCTCGGGGGAAGGGTTTATCCCTCCCCCTACCCCCATCCCCTGGGCCTGGGAGGGGGGGGGGCCGCCAGAGCGTTTCAGACGGCCCCAGATGGCTCGAAGAGGGCCCAAGGCAGCCCAAGAGGGCCTCCAAGATGGCTCAAGATATCTCGGCATCGCTCCAGATAGCCTCCGACAAGCCTCCGAGACGCCCCAAAACAGTTCCAAGAGGGTTCCGCGTGCCACTCCCGCCTTCCAATGCACCTCCCAAGAGGCCACCACCTGTCAACAATCCAAAGGCAATCACGGTTTTTCGGCTTCTCGGCTTTCGCTTCCGATGAGCTTTTCTGGGGCCTCAGATTTGCTCCAAGACCAGAATCCATCGAAGATCAGGACCTTGCCGAAACGCACCGCATGTCTGCGTGACTCGACCGCCTAACGGGCTTGATTCTGAGCCCCTGAAGCGGCGGCACATGCTCACACGCCGAGGAGGAGGAGGAGGAGGAGGAGGAGGAGGAGGAGGAGGAGGAGGAGGAGGAGGAGGAGGAGGAGGAGGAGGAGGAGGAGGAGAAGGAGGAGGAGGAGGAGGAGAAGGTGGAGGCGGAGGCGGAGGAGGAGGAGGAGAGAGAGGAGGAGGAGCGGGAGGTGGCCCTAGAGAGGCCCACGAGGGGCCCATGAAACCGATCTCCTCCAAGATGGCCCCCAAGAGAGCCCCAAAAGGGGGCCCAGCACCGCCAGGGAGGCGCCCAGCACCACCAGAGAGGTCCTCAAGAGGTCCCAAGAGGCCCCCACGAGAGACCAAAGAGGCTCCAAGCGGCTCCCCCGAAGCATCACAGACGCTCCCAGACGCCCCAAGGACCCCCAAGACATCTCCTCCTCTTCCTCCTCCTCCTCCTCCTCCTCCTCCTCGTTCTCATCTACTTCCCTCTCCATCCCCCCTTCTTTGGGGTACGAAAGCTTTCCCTCAGAGGCCCCCACAAGAGGCCATCTTGGAGCCTCCGCGGGGAAGGCCGACACTGATTACCCCACCCTTCTTGGAGTCATGGGGGCCAGGAGGAGCCCAAGCGACGCCTCAGACCTCCCAGCGAGCGGGCGTGCGGACCATAATGCGGGCGAGCGGGAAGCCACGCGCCCGCACGCAGTGCCCAGCAGAGCCCCAAGAAAGCCTCCCCCCACAGAGCCAACACGGCGTGAGGCCGACCTGTTCGCCTCAGCATCGTTGCTGGATTTTCTTTGCAACAAAAAACCGTTCGGAAAAAAAGCATTGGCAGCATTGTGAAACCCCGCGTCGTGGCCGCCCTCCGATGGCATAAACGTTGCAGGTCGACATATCCTGAACCATACAACTAATGTCTCCGCCCTCCCCCCACCCCCGACAAAGGCATCCAAGGTGTCTGTTGCACTGTGTGCTCTTGCATCGCCTACATGAAACCACAAAGCCAACACGTCGGTTCTGGATGGGCGGATTGAGATACGCGACGCGTCTTGACTCGTCTAAGCCTTCCGCGAAGACACGGGGCACTTTCCAGAAGTCCAGAGGGCTTCTAGGAAGCCCCGCCGCATGCTGAGAAGGCCTCTTCCTTCTCGCCTCCCCCCCCCCTCGCTCGCCGCCGATCCCCTCCCCCCCCCCTCGTTCCCTTCGGGGAGAAGATGCCCCATCCCCCCTCGACCCTCCCCTTGGGCAGAGCGACCCGCGAACGGCTCCAAGAGGGCCCCCAGAGTGGCCCAAGATGGCTTAACATGGCATCCATGATGCCCCTAAGCGGCCCCAAGACGGGTCCAAAGTATCACGATGCCTCCTAAGAAACACTTGGAGAGAGAGAATACATTTCTTTCTGCCATCTCGTCTGCTCGCTTCCGATGGTCTCTTGGGGCCTCAAGATCCGCCCCTGATCCCCTGGACCTCAACTTTCAATTCTGAAGAGGAAGTTCCCGGACCCCGCGTTCCCAAATTTGGCGGGGCTCTGCGCGGTTCCGCTGGGCTCCCCCGCACCTTGTCGCGTGACTTTTTCGGGCCCAAGAGGACCCACAGATGCCCCCCAAAGCGGTCCAAGTGGGCCCCGAGACGCCGAACGATCGCTCCACAACGCTCAAGATGGCCCCCTAAAGGCTTCCAAAACACACAGAGATGCCTCCAAGAGGCCTCCAAAGGAGGCCCCAACCATAGGCAGTTGTGAATACCGCAGCTTTGAAAATCTTCGCATGTGGACGGTGGCACTGGGACCTTCGGTGGAGCTCCATATGGGGCCACGAGACGTGTGAGGGGTGTGCCGGCATGGGTTTTGGGAACGCATGCGGGCGGTGGCACTGAAGCCTTCGGTGGAGCTTCCTATGGGGCCACGAAACGTTTAAGGGGGATGCCGGCATGGATGTGGGGGACGCATGTGGACGGTGGCACTGGGGCCTTCGGTGTAGCTCCCCATGGTGGCACGAAGCGTTTGAGGGGTGTGCCGACATGGGTGCGGGGGGCGCATGTGGACGGTGGCACTGCACTAGGGTCTTCGGTGGAGCTCCCTTTTGGGGCCACGAAGAGTGCGAGGGGTGTGCCGAAATAGGTGTGGGGGACGCGCGTGGACGGTGGCACTGGGGCCTTCGGTGGAGCCCCCTTTAGGGCCGCGAAACGTGTGACGGGTGTGCCGACATGGGTGTGGGAGACGCATGTGGACGGCCGCACAGGTGCCTTCGGTTGAGCTCCCTCGGGGGCCAATCAACGTGCGGGGGGGGGGGGGGGGGGCAACATGGGTGCGTGAGACGCATGTGGACGGTGGCACTGGGGCCTTCGGTGGGGGCTCCCCATAGTGGCACGAAACGTATGAGGGGTGTGCCGAAATGGGTGTGGGGGACGCATGCGGGCGGTGGCACTGGGGCCTTCGGTGAACTCCCCATAATTCCATTGAGGGGGGTGTCGAAATGGGTGTGGGGGACGCCTGTGACGGTGGCACTGGGGCCTTCTGTGGAGCTACCTATGGGGCCACGACACGTGTGAGTGGTGTGTCGAAATGGGTGCGGGGGACGCATGTGGGACGGTGGCACTGGGGCCCTCGGTGGAGCTCCCTTTGCGGCCAGGGAGCGTGTGAGGGGTGTGCCGAAATGTTGTGGGGGGCGCATGTGGACGGTGGCACTGGGGCCTTCGGTGGAGCTCCCTGTGGGTCCACGAAACGTGTGAGGAGTGTGCCGACATGGGTGCGGCGGACGCGTGTGGACGGTGGCACTGGGACCTTCGGTGGAGCTCCCTATGGGGCCACGAAACGTATGAGGGGTGTGCCGAAATGGGTGTGGGGGACGCATGCGGACTGTGGCACCAGAGCCTTCGGTGGAGCTCCCTATGGAGCCACGAAACATGTGAGGGGTGTGCTGAAATGGGTGCCGATGATGATGACGATAACGGCGATGATGCTGGCGATGATGGTGATGATGACGATGATGCTGATGATGCTGATGATGAGAATTGGGAGGAGGGGGGGAGGGGGGAGGAAGGAAGGGAGGAAGGAAGGAAAGAAGGAAGGATGAACGCGGGGAGCGTTTCTTCAAAACGAGGACCCGACACCGCAGGATGATTGGGAACTATTAGGTTTCATTCGGTTTTTGAAAGTTTCTGGCGTTCTCGTCGTTTCCGGTTCCCGACGCTCCCAGACGGCCCTAGATGCCCCCAAGGCCGCCCCAAGACGGCCCAAGAGACCTCCAAGAGGACCCCAAAACGGTCCAAGAGGGCTTCAAGACGGCCCACGTGGTGCTCAAAACGGCCCAAGAGGGCCCAAGACGGCACCAAAGGGGGAAACAGAGCGGATACACGAACCAAAAATCCGACCTTCCGTCCCAAGAGGCCCCCGGCAGGTCCCAAGAGGCGCTCAGGAGGTCCCAAGAGGCCCTTGGCCCAAGAGGCCCCAAAGTGAAAGAAAAAGGCCCTCAAGAGGCCCCCAGAGGCCCCAAACCAGCACTCAAGAGGCGTCCAAACTGCCTCCAAGAGACCCCCGAGAGTCCCCCCGCGACATCCCAACGAACATCCAAGAGGCTTCATATCCATAACCCAGGCACGGTGGCGGCATGGGTCGAGGGCCATTCGATCCGTCGCCCCCTGTGGTCTTGCCACAGATGTGCCTGGCGTGCTAGATCCTACTGGTTCGGCACTCCAAATTA